GACGGAGATCCTGCAGAATGTTAAAGGAACAGTTCAGTGCCAGCAAGTTTAATCCGGCAAGCCTTAGGGCTTTATGTGTCAAGCTTACCTTAAGAGGTTCTTAACGCAGAATTCTTTGACAGTTCATACAAATGTCTTGATACTCTGGTAGTGTGGTCTGTTGTTTTGTGTTTTTATATTCCTCCTTCATGGTGCTGTATATATATATAAAAATGTACTCCCCAGATGCCATGACTCATCTTTCCTTGAAATTGCTACCACAAAGTATATATATTGCGGCATTGCGACCTCCCTTTGCCTAATGTTGGCTCTGTTCTTCCAATGCAGGCAGTGCACTATTTCTCCTGCCTGTTAGACAGCAGGATTGTTTTGAGCCAGGATTGTCATGGCATGTTCAGTTGTATCACTTGGTTATTTCCAGAATCTTAAAAAGCTTGCTTTAGTTTGGAATGAAAATGGCAAAAATAATAATAATAATGTTGTGACACTAACAAGTTTTGTTGGGCATAAGCTTTTATGAATTGCAGTCTACTTCATTGGATGTTAATCTGTCTGTGCACATGGCTGAGTAGGAGCGGGATGCGGAAGGAACAGAGAGGCAGAAAGAACAAATATTGATGATTTTCTTAAAGCAGTGGCCCCCAACCTTGAGTCCCTAGATGTTCTTGGACTAACTCTCCGAAGCCTTCACCACTAGCTGTGCTGGCCAGCGTGTCTGAGAGTCCAAGAATATTTGAGACCCAAGGTTAGGGACCACTGCCTTAAAGAGATTGGCCAAGAAAGAGTAATTGTGAACTGACAGCAACATAGTAGTGCAGATAAACTGAGTCAGGCATGCATGGGAATGAAAAGCCCCCCCCCCCCGTAACCAGAGGTATAGTTTACTTAATCTTTTTATTTATTTAGCCTTTTTTAAAAGTTGTGGGGGAAGTGTTTCTTCATTGCAGGGAAGGAGAATGTTGTTAGGATAGGACATTCATCATTCCTCACTGTGGGCTTTTTCTGGCTAGAGATGATGGGGGTTTCAGCCCAATCACATCTGGAGAGTGATACCTGGACCACCCTGGTTTAGAGTCATCTCCTTTAAATGTGTCATGTTAAGTTGCGACACTGATACTTCAGCCTTGTTATTTCCTTGTTATTTTTGGAGATATTTCTGGAGGGATTATGTAGAAGTGTTGTCAGGGGTGAACAGTGGGGTGGAGTTGTAAATAGGATTATCCACTATAAGAGGGCATTGAATGCCTTTCCGAACGGATTGCCCCAGAGGTTGTGAAGGTGGAGCTGAAAGAAGCTCATGTTTTTTGCCATTGAAGCTGGAGAAAAATGGGGTGAGACAGATACCTGGGAGTGCAGTCCTATATGTATTTCCTAAGCAAGGAAGGCCTGCTGAGCAAGGAAGATTACATCCTCCAGATGTAAGAAATTTTTTTTAAAGCGTCACATCCACCATTGAAAGCTTCTTTCTCTACAATTTGATCAATTGCCAAAGACCTGCCTGAAGAGAAAAGTCTTAGCCTTCTGACAGGAGGACAGCAGGTGGCCAACTGAGCCTCCTGTGGAGGGGAGTTCCACGGCCACCAGAAATGTGGTCTCTTGTGTCTTCCTCAGAGGGTATCACAACTGAGAGAAAGGCCTCTTTGCAAGATCAAGCTGATGGGTAAAGAAATGTGTGCCCACTTTCATATTATGTCTGCTCAGCATTCCAGACGAGGCCATGGATGGTCTGGGTCGCCGGCCAGGTCATCCAGAGACACCCCCCCCAAGGCCTCCTGAAACCCATGATGCTCCAGAAAGCCTCCCAAGGGTGGAGCAATTTGACAGGTCCGAGAACAGACCATTTGCTGCATGCAACAGAGAGACAAAAATAAACAAGACTGAGTTATGTCACGGCCTTAAACCTGATATACAGAGATATAAAATGTATTTTCTTCTTTCTTGTGTGTTTCCCCTCTTGCAAATTATTAGTTCCAGATTCTGGAATATATATTTTATGCACCTGCACACAGAGGCCAGCCAGGCCTGTTTAGATTCATAGGATGGAAACTGGAACTGGAAGGAGATCAGTAGGATGGAAAATTATGGTACTGTATCGGCCTCATGTGGAGTATCAGGCTGTGGACCAGATTGCAATCAGCCCTAGGCCACACAGCTAGGATGATGCAAGTTGCGGTCCAGAATCATTTGAAGCACCACATTTTACCCAATCTCTCTGCAGCTTGATCAGTGTTATGGTGTGGGCGCATAGCAAAAGGTTTGAAGGCAAAGAGGTGGTTGGGGGTGCCTCCGTTTCTGTTCATGCAGTCTGGTCATGAACGGCTGCACTGGAGTTCCAGAGATTAAGATTAAAACCCTGAAGCCTTTGATCATCTGCTGAGATTTGGCAGTCCTGTACATCAGTGGTCCCCAACCTTGGGCCTCCAGATGTTCTTGGACTTCAACTCCCAGAAATTCTGGCCAGCAGAGGTGGTGGTGAAGGCTTCTGGGAGTTGTAGGACCACTGCTGTACATGGTATACACTTCTGAATTATCTCATGCCATTATTTCACAGGTCAAAGAGCTGGAGAAACATGTGCCCAAGGAAACATAAAACATAGTTTTTCATAATTGGCAGTGTGAACGTAGGTTTTTAGTTTTGGCAGGGTGTGCACTAGAACTCATACAAGGTCTCTGTGATTCTTAGTCGTCTTAGGCTAGAAACCTGAACATGCAACTTCTTTTATTTTATTTTTTTTAATTGGCTTTTCTTGGATTCTTCCATGCAACAGTTCTGCTGTTTTGAGCTTTTGATTCATTGCCCTGCTGTGAGATAACCAATAGCTGGGAGACGTGTTCTGTATTTTGGGGATCATGGCCAAGGCTAATAATGTGGGCACATGCCCACAAGCAGCAGCAGCAGCAGAAGATCTTTTCCTTTCTTCTGCCTTCCTCTAGCAGCATACAGGATCCACACTAAGTGATGTGTGTGTTTGCGTGTTTTCTTTTAGGGGAGGGGGACCAACAGGAGAAGGCTGCCCTTTTTCATTCCTGGCAACCTGTCTTGCAACAGAAAGTTTCTATGGTTTCCAAAGTATGAGACAGGCATCCTTTAGTGATGCTTGAACTGTTGCTAAGGGAAGCTTAATTTTCTTCTTTCTGTCTGTCTTTCACTTCCTCCACCCTACCAAGAGCAATGACTCATCAGCAAAAGGCCAAAAGCAATTCTCAGGGATTCTCCCAGAAAAGAGTCAGTAAAGTGCATTGCAACAGAAAGTTTCTATGGTTTCCAAAGTATGAGACAGGCATCCTTTAGTGATGCTTGAACTGTTGCTAAGGGAAGCTTAATTTTCTTCTTTCTGTCTGTCTTTCACTTCCTCCACCCTACCAAGAGCAATGACTCATCAGCAAAAGGCCAAAAGCAATTCTCAGGGATTCTCCTAGAAAAGAGTCAGCAAAGTGCATACATATGGGATGTGTGTGTGTGTGTGTATGCTTCTTTCTCCCAGAGCCTTGCAATCTGGGGTTTGTCGACAAACATGTGTGTGTGTGTGTGTGTGTGTGTGTGTGTATGTTTCTTTCTCCCAGAGCTTTGCAATCTGGGGTTTGTCGACAAACACTCAACAAGTACCATGGAGACATCAAATTAGTGCTTCTTAGTCCAGGATCTCCAGGACTGAGCTCAAGTTAGAATTTCGAGAGAGAAGCATTAAGCAGGGAGGTTGACGCCTCCTTCTCTCCCCCCCCCACCCGTGGTACTGATCAGTCTCAAATAATATGGGTAAATCTCAAGTACATCTGTTTTTAAAAAGGGAAACATAAAATCCATTGTCCCTAATTATAGAACCAGTCCTTGCAACCAAATAAATCACATAGCATTGCAGCCAAATATCTGCATGTCCTTTGCTTTGCAGACGAGCTCGGGGAAAACCTAGGCATTTTTGTGTAGGATTTTTTTTTTTCATGTACAGTATGTTATTTAGTCACCAGGATCCCCCTTCTGGAGTCTGAAATAGCAACAGTTTGAAAAGGTTGCTTTTATTGTAGTAGAACTCCCAGAATGACCCAACCAGAATGGAGTTTTAGTCTAAATCAGAAATTTCCCCAACTCTGCAGATGACACAGCTTGAGCACCTCACTGAGAACAATGCAGTCTAGTTTTTGCCCCTGAAAATAGGTAAGGCTTTGCAGCTAGTGCAGACATGGCTAAGCCATTAGGAGTGGCCCTGTAGAGTTGTATGTTGATCTAGTTCCAGTGTTTGTGTCCCAGTTTATATGTTTCTCTGTACTTCTATCTCACACTATCCCTTTTCTTTCCTTAGCTTGGTTTATTTATCCTGGCTAGCGATGGACACAAACTGGCGGTTCATACTGGGTCATTTATTGGCTGAACGGGTGTCCACCACTTCAGAGCCCCACCTTCTCCAGCGGACAACCAGTTGGAGGCAGAGGTCTGGCTTCCCTGCCACCGCCTCTGTGTGGCGCCCTCCCCAGAGGAGGCAGGGCTTTGAAATGCTGAACAGCTGTTTGGATGATAAATGAACTGGCACAAACCACCTAAATGACAGTTTGTGTCCATCTCTAACCCTGGTTTATGAGAGGCACGACAAACCAGGATTGCCTGTTTGAACAACCAGCTAAAGAACCATTTCTGATCTGTTCTGGTTGATGTAAACAGCACACATGCATATCTTTGTTCATGTGCAACTGTATTCTGTGTGTATGTACCGTGTTTTCCTGAAAATGAGACAGGGACTTATATTAATTTTTGCTCCAAAAATGCATACGGGCTTATTTTCAGGGGATGTTTTATTTTACAGTCATGTCTTCTTCTTCTGATTGCTGCACAAGGCTGGAGGGCAGAGTTTCACTTAACTGGGGCTTATTTTTGGGGTAGGGCTTATATTACGAGCATCCTGAAAAATCATACTAGGGCTTATTTTCAGGTTTCGGGGAAACAGGTATGATATGAAAATGTACACAGAAGAATATTGATTTTTTTCTTTTTCTTTATTATACAGCAGATATAATATCTACAGTAGAATTTAATCATTCTGGAGAATTGTTAGCAACCGGAGACAAAGGCGGTAGAGTCGTAATCTTTCAACAAGAGCAGGAGGTAAGTTTTGCGTTAGCATTACCTGTTCATCATGCCTCACCTGATGGCTTAGCATGTCTTAAGATGGAATAGCATGGAGGTTAGAGAGGCTGAGGATGTTTTAAGAAAAAGGTCTCCTAAATCAACAAGTATTCTGAAATATGCACATTATGATACAGCAGTTGAGTCATATTTTTTTATGCCAGTGTAAGTACAATGGTATGAATTGCAGCAGTGATTGTTCCTAGTTAACAAGCTGCCAATTGTATTCCTCCTCACACACCAGTTACATGAATTTGTGTACCATTGTAGTTAAAGAGGGGTAGAAGTGTTACCCTATTCCTTGGGATTCATGATGCAAAGTAGTTGGGTTCAGGGTTAATCCCTTGTATTGACCTGATTGCATCAGTGAGCTTGTATCAGGATTGAATCAGTAGGTCTCAGTCATTTAGTGGGTCTTCTCTAGTTGGGACTAAGCATTAGATTTAGCTCGAAATAATCTTCCCAGAATGGTACATTAATATATTACAATGCATTATTGGACAAGGTATAAAGAAATGGTTTACAACTGGTGGCTATGTAACTGTTGCAAAAATTGATCACATCTGCCACTGAATGTAGGCCACAGATGTGAAGCTCCAGGTGTATTAGACTGCGGTTACCATCGTGGCTGGCCAGTGTGTCCAGTTGTTGGGAAAAGATGGGAGTTGAAGTACAGTAATATCTAGGAGCTCAGAAATAGGAAAGCTGGGTCTACTCTAGGCTGGCTGACCTAGATGGACCAGTTTTCTAATTCTGTATAGGACAGCTTTAGCAACATAAGAAACTTCTTTCTGGTGAGTCAACCCACTGGTGTATTTAGCATAGCATTGCCAACCCTGGCTGGTAGCAGCTGTTCCACGTTTTTAGACAAGGTTCTTTTCTGCACCTATCTGGAGATAGCTAATGTTATCTGGTGGTTTCCTGTGCAAATAGCAACCAGGTCCAGCTCATCCTCACTTCCAAAAAGCAGATGAAATCAGTGTTTTGAGGGTTATATGGTGGTTGCTGTCCGTTGTGCAGTATTCTGCTAATGCTGGCTGAATAGTTCACAGAGGGACATTCATCTGTTTCCCCCTTCAGCGTACAGTTATTTGGCTCCAAACTATTGTATGTAACTTGTTACGGCAGTGCTTTTCCTGCAAACCTTGAGCTTCAAAATAACATTCTTCTTTTGTTCTCGTAAAATCCTTTCAAAGTAGCCTACATTTCTGCCCATAATAGATTGCCTGACATAGATTTTTCTCCCTTCTCCCCCTCCTTGTGCAGTAAATAGAATTGACATACAGGAGCAGAACAGGCACTGAACATTTTATGAGCACAGGATATATTTATCACTTGAATAGCAAGTGTTTCTTCAATTTCCATTAAATGGCTCTGAGTCTGTTCAGCCAATTTGCTCTTGCAAGGGTGTGTCTTTCAGAAGCCTATGTATGCAGCGCTCCATGTATGCAACAAAAGTTTTGTGTGTCCATGGCCTAAAAGGAAAGAAAAGTCCCCTTCTTAAAAGACAGATTGCTTGCTTTTCACACACGTGAGCACAGAGGTATCTCAGCCTGTTTGCAAACGTCTCTAAGGCTGGCTTGATAAAAGTTGTTCACTGATCATAGAATTACAGTTCTGATCCCAAAACTGCCACATGTTTCTAAGCATTCAAGTTGCAAGGCCCAAGGTTGTGCCTTCTGTCTGTAATATCAGGAAGGCAAAGGTCTCTTTGAAATGATACGCCTTGGCTTGTTACAGATCCTGATCACACAGAGTTCTGTAACCTCAGCCAAAGCAGAACATGGAAAATTTCCATTTTTGGACTGTATGTCCCAGAATTACTCATCCAGACAGATCTCCCTATTCCACCATCCACCACAACCTCAGTACCTAAACCAGGCCATCGCTGCAGTTTTTTCTTGCTGTTATGTACTGCCACACGTCTTCCAAACCTCTTACCAATATGCATTTAATGCACTTCATCCAAATCTTGGGAAAGTTGTTTTTTGGGGGGTGTTCTGAAGGTTGTACCCCCCTTCCCCAAATTGCATTTCCCAGTTTTGGGCCAAATGTTGTTGCAGGCCTTCCTTGTCAACAGGAAAAAGTCAGAGTTGGAAGGCATGGAACCTAGATGGATGTCCCCATCTTCCTCCATCCTGATAATAATTTGAAGAAGGCTTCTTTCTTACATATATGAACCCCACCATCCAACTGTCCATGCATGAATCCAACCATCTTATCTCCCCTAAACTTTTTGATGTTTTGACTTCCCATCCATACTTAATTGTATTAATGACCTACACAGCATAGTGAGTTGTCTGGTTCAGTAAAGAAGTCCAGAAAACATGGACTTCTTGAGATGCTGAAAAGCTACTTCAGTCTACAGGCCAGGTTTGAGATGGCTGAATGTGCTCATTTTCAAAATAAAAATTCACAGCACAGCAGTCCTGACTAGTGTAGATCTGCAGTAAGCTGGCATATAAGAAAGTCCCATTGATTTGATGGCTCTGCTCTAACTGGGACTATCCGTTGGATTTTAGACCTTAGAGAAAAGTTTCGCCAACAATCTTTATGGCACGTAATGCTGCTTACTCTTGTTGATATTTTAAAACATCTTGCACCTGAAGGTGAACAACTTGTAGAAGGACAGGGGCATAAAGAGCTGGGTTTTATATTTGTATAAAATATAAGCCCCACTGCATACATTCCACAAGTTTGCAGGTGGGGAAAGTGGGTATGAATTATATATT